AGCTGAAAGAATCAATTGAAGTTTCCAATTTTCAATTCCAATCATTCTCTCTTTTCTCTCATCTCTCATTTTCTCGGGCATTCTCTCTTTCTCTCGATTCTCTCTTTTCTCTCATTCTCGCTTTTCTCTCATTCTCTCTTTTCTCTCATTCTTCTCTATTCTCTCATCTCTCTTTTTCTCTCATTCTCTTCTATTCTCTCATTCTCTCTATTCTCTTCATTCTCTCTAGTTCTCCTCATTCTAGCCAGATGATAAGTTACGTGCAGATGTTATGTGCTCTCTCTTTTCTCTCATTCTCTCTCTCTTTTCTCTCATTCTCTCTCTCTTTTCTCTCATTCTCTCTCTTTCTTTTTATTCTCTCTCTTTCTTTTTATTCTCTCTCTCTCTTTCTTTTCTCTCTTTCTTTTCTCGATTTTCAACAGTTATGTAATTGGTTATAAATTATTGGTAACATAATGTGGAAGTATATTTTAACATGTTACACAACAAGAGAGAAATTTACTTAAAAAAAACGTACAATAAAAATCTCGGGAAGTAATTACATGGTGAAATAAAATAAAATTCCATTTCGATGTTAGCGAATAATTTGCGATCTAGTTGGGCATTGTATTATTAATGATTTCTTGTGACATCTTAAAGTTCCTTTTAAGTCTTGTTGTCAATGTTGTCTACATTGTCAAGTTCCTTTTAAGCCTAAAAAATTATAGTTGTCCTTGTAAGTCATTTTTTTGAATGTTTTGAATACTATTTCATCTGATGGGAATTTTGTTGGGGATAACGGTCTGAAAGGTGTCATTAGAATGTCACGCTAGTATAGGTTTGAAGACTGCTCCACCCATTCGTTATTCGGTGAATAGCGAGCATCGCTGCCGAATTCCGAGTAGACTGGATAAGATGCTTACTATTTGCCGAGTGACGAACATTCGGTGTTTGCCCTACCAACTGCCTGTCGGCCTTTTGGACACATCAAAGGAAGCGAATATTCGTCGAACTCATCAGCTATTGGGATCGGGCGAGCAATAGGTCGCTGCTCAGCAAATGCCGAAAGTGTGGAGCCGCCTTGACATCGTGACAGTGACGGTTCTTCGGAGTAGGCAAGACATGCAGCGCTTTTCCTGGTTACCCCAACCACTTCAACACTTTCGGACATAGTGTACGTTCATAGACGTTTACAGTTTTATCACCTGGAAATTAAAAATAAACATTTCATTCACTCGTTCAGAACTATGATCTCAGTTTAAAAATTTTATAACAAACCCTGGGGGGGGGGAAGGGGGGCACGTTTGGATAGGCAAATTGATACTGCCTGTCTTTTCGGAAGACTTACATTTCCAGTCATATTAGCAGCGCTGAGTTTGTTTAATTGTGGAGATAGTTATCAGTATTTGTAAAGAAAAATATGTTGTTACCGGAGAAATCTGGCAGAAATCCGTATGGAAAAAAGAAAGTCATCTTCCACAATTTTGTTTTAATTTCTCAATTTCTTCAAAAACTATCAATCCCTTCTCCTGACGCGAGAATCTTCTCTCTTGCGGAACAGGCAACACCCTTCGGTGGTCCGCGAGCACTGTTCACAACCGTCGATGTCCATGCAGAAGTGGATAGCAGGAATTTCAGCTATGCATCTTGGTATACTGTATACATGCGCATGTACTGTTTTATGATCTGCACTGCTAAGTATTTGTGGAGTAACCCTTCAGTGATCTGAAGGTATACTAATTAGATGGTGTCTTGCAAGGTTGTAGGGAAGTTCTTGAATATATTTGACTGCTTGGTAAAGGCTTTACACCGCACCGAAATACATGTACATATCATGATAATAATGTCAACGTAACCTAAACCCGCGGATCATCAGATTCCTTATCTTCATGTTACAGCGTAGCGAGCGAGTCCGTGTGAAACGTGGAAGTTCGCGGAATTTCACGCCGTTCTCCCGTTTCTCCTGCACTTCATTCGCCATTTGTTGCATTCTTCCATTACTATTTACTTAAATCATTAAATATTTTTCTCAATAATTTTCATTATGGTAACTAATTTTCTCAGTGGCTCTGGAAAGGAGAGCGTACACTATGGTGAGACCAGTTAGCGATTGAAACAAAATGTTGGATCGACGTATTTTACTTCATTCATTCAGTATTTCTCAGCTCGAAACTTTTCCTATTTGGAAATGAATCTTTTCCAGCTTTTCCGCACGTTAAATAGAGGCGGATCATCTGGT